GGGCGAGGGGGGCACGGGGACAGGGACACAGGGACACAGGGACACAGGGACAGGGACACAGGGACAGGGGGGACACAGGGACAGGGGGGGACCGGGACAGGGACAGGGGGGGGGACACCGGCACGGGGGGGGGACAGGGGGGGACACAGGGGGGTCATGGGAAGGGTCACAGAGGGGACACCGGGGGACAGCAGGGGGTCAGAGGGGGGACACCAGGGGATCAGAGGGGGGACACGGGTGGGACAGCGGGGGGACACCGGGGGGGTCACAGCGGGCCCGGACCCCTCCTCACCCTCCCAGTGTGACCCCCCCTCCTCCGGTGTGCCCCCTCCCGGTGTGCCCCTCCCCCCTCCCGGGCCGCACCATCCGCTCGATCTCCGCCACCGCCCGCGCGAAGCTCGTGGCCTGGAATCCGGTGGTGCGGAAGGAGCGGAGCAGCGCCGCGTGGTCCGCGCCGCCCGAGAAGTCGTAGCCGCGCACCGGGAGAGCCTCGGCCGGGAGGGCCCCGCTGGGCCGCAGCACGGCCCGGAGCGCCTCTCCCGGGGCCTCTCCCGGGGCCTCTCCCGGGGCCTCTCCCGGGGCCGCCATGGCTCGGCCCGGCCGCTCAGGGCGCCGCCATCTTGGGCCCCGCCCCCCTGCGCCGTACGGCTGCGCGCCGCCATCTCGGCGGGACGGCGTCCGTGAAGGGACAAAAAGGTGGCGGACGCGAAACGGCGCTGCTTGCAGCGAGAGAGCCACGAAACGGCCGCAGCGCCCCAAAACCCGCCCGGTTTCACCCCAAAATCGCCCGGTTTCACCCCAAAACCCGCCCGGTTTCACCCCAAATCCCCCCGATTTCACCCCAAAACCCGCCCGGTTTCACCCCAAAATCGCCCGGTTTCACCCCAAATCCCCCCGATTTCACCCCAAACCCGCCCGATTTTACCCCAAAATCACCCGATTTCACCCCAAACTCGCCCGATTTCACCCCAAAACTCCCCGATTTCACCCCAAACCCTCCTGATTTACCCCCAAATCCCCCCGATTTCCCCCAAACCCCCCCGATTCCCCCCAACCCCCCCCGATTCCCCCCAACCCCCCCCGATTCCCCCCAACCCCCCCCGATTCCCCCCAACCCCCCCCGATTCCCCCCAACCCCCCCCGATTCCCCCCAACCCCCCCCGATTCCCCCCAACCCCCCCCGATTCCCCCCAACCCCCCCCGATTCCCCCCAACCCCCCCCGATTCCCCCCAACCCCCCCCGATTCCCCCCAACCCCCCCCGATTCCCCCCAAACCCCCCCGATTTCCCCCAAACCCGCAGCGGGGGGACACAAACTCCTCTCCAGTCCAATCCTTTAATTGCCAGCCCCCCCCCGATCTCTCCCCGGCTCCGGGCCCGGCCCCCCCCGGCTCGGGGGGCTCAGGGGGACCCCGCGGGGGTCGCTCGGGGCCCCCCGGCCCCCGTCAGGTCCGGAGCCTCCAAACCTCCACCG